GTGTGACGTTGCCTGTCTGTAAAGTGGTCATGACAGGGGGTCAGAGGAATCAAACATTAAGGATCATTTCCATTGGTTTACTTTTTGGCTGAATGTGTGACATGAACTTCTGATTTTGGGGGGCTGGTTTCCTAATGATCTTCCTTGATTCTGCATAACCGAGGGTCCCTCCTCAGACTGGACCCTGGCAGGAAGTGACTCCCCATGGTTACAATGCAGTTTAAAGCAAACATAGAACCCTTAGGTTAGAAGGTTAGAGGCAGCAGCCAAGGATAACACAACGAGGGAAACAGCCCTCCACACGAAAAGACTGGTAGCAACCCAGTTCTCTGTCTCTCTCTCTCTCTCAGGTCTCTCTCGCTCTCTCCCCCAGGCTGGAGTACAGTGTGGCAATCAGGCTCACTGTAGCTCCTAGGCTCAGGCAGTCTTCCCACCTCAGCCTCCTGAGTAGCTGGGACCACAGGCGCATGCCACCATGCCCAGCCAGCTTCAACCTGTTGTAGTAGTTATTAAGGAATTATTTTAGGCAGATAGAGAGCAAAAGGGGTCCTTGGGACGTTTTCATTTTGAAAAGCATCTCTGAAAAATTTTCTTGTCAAGTCCCGGCTCTTAGAGCCAGGCCGGCAACCTTTGATAACCTTTGATAGGCAAATGCAGGCCATAAGAAGCTGGGTCCACCCAAACATAGCGATTCCCGCCCTCTTCCTCTTGCCCTTGCCCCACAAGTGCCTGGTGACATGGCCACCCCCACAAATCCCCATGTGTGTAGAACGTCATGGCGCCCTATATTTGCATATTAAAAGGCTAGGGTGGGAGGGCCAGCTTTTTCTCGGGCTACGTGAATGACATGTCTGGTCAAACCAATCCCCTAAGCCCTATGCAAATCAGACATCACCTCCTCCAGCCTCTGTATATATACCTGGCTGGTATCTGTGGCAGGTGGGCACCTCGTCTTTCGGCTTTGGAGCCCCCCTCCCACTGTCTCTGTATGAGGAGCTTCTTCCTTGTCTTCTACCCTCCTGCTTGCCTATTAAACGCTCCACTTCATAAAACCGCTCTACACATGTCCGCGTCGTTTTAGCTAAACCAGCATGAGGACCAAGAACCCCGGTGTTCCTCCACTCATCGGAGCTGTATCAAACCCAGTTCTTAAAGTGTGCGAATTAAGCAAGAAAAGAACCAAATGCTTGGCTTCAGTGATAAATGTACCAGAAGGAGAGGCAGGCTGGGCTCCAGCTCTGAGAGCTCAGGGCAAACCAGCAGGAACCCAGGAAGAGAATCCTGGCTGACCAGGAACTTCTCCCTCAGTCATCCCAGGCCCCCAGCATGGCCATTCCTTAGGAAGGGAGGATCTGCTACAGAATCCTTGTGAGACTTGATCATTTATAATCTATAAATATGTATCACACTCTACATCTAGGTCTCATTTTAGAGTGTGGGCTCACTTACCCTTAACAAATCTTTTTGTCACTTTCAAAAAGTCCTCAGATTAAAGAAACCTTCTTCTACTATAAATAGACACCCAGACCCAGGAACCATGCCTGGTGCGATCTTGGCTCACTGCAACCTCCGCCTCCCGGGTTCAAGTGATTCTCCTGCCCCAGCCTTCCGAGTTGCTGGGATTACAGGCATGCACCAACACACCCGGCTAATTTTGTATTTTTTAGTAGAGATGGAGTTTCTCCATGTTGGTCAGGCTGGTCTTGAACTCCTGACCTCAGGTGATCTGCCTGCCTTGGCCTCCCAAAGTGCTGGGAATACAGGCATGATTCACCTCGCCCAGCCCAGAATATTCTTTTAACAAAACTAATCTCTGTTGGTGTATGCTGTGTACAGAAATACCACATTTTTCTTATGTTTATTTCGTCACAAGTGTGTGTGAATATCAGATAGGAATCTTTCAGTTGCCAATTACAGAAAACTCAAATTGGTTTACCCAATAAAGGGGTTTTATTACCTCATGTATTCACCAAATATCTATCAAGAGCCTACTATGCATTGGGCAGTTGAAAAGTTTGAAGATGGTACTAGCTTCAGGCAAAGCCTGATCCAGTAGCCCAAACAGTTTTAGCAATGACTTGATTGGTGTCTTTGTCTCTGCTCTGGCTTCCATGTGTCCATCCTTAAGCTCCACATGCCAGTCCTTCCATTCTCATTTACCCCACCCAGCACCATCCTCCATACATTGCTCTGTCATGTGGAAGAGAAAGTCTCTCTCAGAACCCCTGGGATTCACTCTCTGTGGCCATCCACGTGCCTGATCCCAACTAATCAGGGTGGCTGAGAATGGGATTTGGTGAGCTGCCTAGACCAGTGAAACCTACCCCAGGAGGGGGGAATGGGGCCAAATGTACCCCAGCTACTTCCAGGAGAAGTGGACTCCCTGGAAGAGAATAAGAGTGAATGGACGCAGAGAAGCAAGGGACAAAGAGTCATCACTGCATTGTGTCATTGTTCCAGCTACATGGACAGCTCTCCATAATGACTGAGAGCACAGGCTGATGCCAGGCTGACTGGGTTAGAATCCTGGCTTCACATTTATCAGCTGTATGACTTTGGGCATGTCACTTAACCTCTCTGTGTCTCAGTTTTTTCATCTGTAAAGTGAGGATAATAGTACCTGCCTTATAGGATTGAGAATTGTGATGAGGATTAAATGAGTTAGTATTTGTAAAGCAATTAGAATAGTGAATGATACGTAGCAAGCACTTAAAAGTGCACTGTGCACACAGTAGGGGGCCCAATAAACACTTGCAGAGTGGGTGAAGATACAAAGCTGGGAGCAAGTCCCACTACTGTCTAGACTTTCACCCCCAGCAACTCCATCTCTCAGGGCAGGTCCTCCTGCCTTGGGGTCTGCTGTTTTGGAGCTGTTTTCCCAGAAAGCTGGCAGCTGGGCAGCAATGAGTGCCCCCCACCTATGATTAAGACGGCACAACCCTATAAGACATCATTAAAGCACCATTTTTCCCTACAAACTGAGGAGAAATCCATAGGGGTAGATTCTGGGGGCCCATCAAGACACTCCTGGAATAAATGATCTACATGTGCCATGATCATCTGTATGACGATTTCAGACTGGTTTATCCCCAGCCTGTGACTTTTCACGCTTCCTAAGCTGTATAAAAATGAACTGCAATCAGGCTGATCTATAGATAGACAGTTCCTGTTTCTGAGCATGCCGAATGAGGGTGGCTGTGTTGATACATTTGCATAAAGCTGATGGATGTAGAAGGCTATGGTTTTTTGCTTTTGTTTTTGTTTTTGGTTTTTTTTTGAGGGGTTGGGGTATCCTTTTGGAAGTGGAGCCAGAGAAGAGGTAAAATTAAGGGAAGTGAAAATAGGGCAGACTCATAGCTTTTTCATATGAAAATGAAGGAGGCAGTAGCTACAAGATAAAGTTTACTGATGCTCTGTCTGCAAGGAAAAAATGGGCTGGTTTAAAAAGCAAAACAAACTGACCAACAGGTGACCGGAAGGGATGGGGAAAGGGGTGTGATCTGTCTTTCCTGTCTGCCTCCTCCCTGCCTTTTTCATGTATACACACAAGGGAAAGATGTAATAGTCTCTGTTTTCTATGTACAGGGATATTTAGACATGCAAATGAGCACAGCTTGTTAATGAGCTCAGGGTGATTACACTGCAGGGAGCTGCCAGCCCCTGCTGAACAATAGGTGAAGAGACACCAGGTGTCTGTGAAGGGGGAAGGGGACCTCCCCACCCTTGCCTCTGTGCCTGTGACCTGTCTGCAGAATGAAACTGTTAGGCCAAGTTCTTTCTTATGCTCCTTCTAGCTCCCAGATCCTGAATCTAATGAGTTAAGATTAGCAGCAGGAGACCAGGTAAGCCCCGGGGCTCATCAGGGAACTGATGAGCAGGTAAGCCCCGGAGGCTCCTGAACCTTACCTGGGCCAGGAAGGGTGATGGGCAGCCAGTGAAGCATGAAGCTGCCTCAGATGGGCAGGACCACCTGGCAAGTGCTATGGAATTGGGGTGGGAGAAGCAGGACCCTATGGAGTGAGCAGGTCATGCTGTGTCTCTTTGGGCAGCATTTGGTCATAAGATGGTGACTGGGCATCTGTGTGCTTTTCAGAAGTCAGGGCAAAGTTTTGTAATGAGAAACAGGAAATGAAGGAGTCTGCTTTTAATTTCTAGGCAGAGATGCTCAGTATTAGTAAAAAGGATGTGGACTTTGGAGTTGTACACATCTGAGTTTGTTGGGCTAGACACATTGGATGTGTTATACCCATGAACCCTGGCTGACAAGGTGCCAGCCACACAGCCAGTCTCCCCTATTGATAAGATAAAGGACTTGGCCTATCACATATGACTCTCCTGACAACCACTTGATGGTTACCTAGCTAAGGAGGTAATTAACGAAGAATCTTACGAGAAACTTGTGTTGCTCGGGCAGATGCCCGGCCTGGACATCCCAGGTCCAGAGGAGTGGAAAGAACCCAGCCAGTTCCAACAGGATGTGCAACGTACTTTCTGACCTGTTGTTCTGATGGCAACAGAGCAGGACACTGTCATTGCCTGCCAGCCTCCAAGTATCTGTGACACTGTCTCAAAACAGTCTAAAGCTTTAAGTCCCCTCAAACCTCCCACATCTGCCTGTGGTTGGATCACTCCAAAATCAGGACATGTCCCTAACCTTCTATTAAGGGCATTCGACTTTATACCATGTCACTAGAGCATCACTCAATCCTGCCTATAAATATGGATGCTGTGCTGACAAGACTTATTGCTGATTTAATGGCAGTGAGTACAGGCTGGTGTGCTGCACACATACACAGAGAATGGTATTGAAAAACAGGAATGATAATTAGAGTTTAATAAATGGTAATTTGCTCCTTGCTGCTGTGTGTGACAGGGGTTGGGGAGGGATGAAATAGAGGGGCCCTTCCAGAAAGTGAAATGTAGATAGAACGGATGCCATGACAGCTTTATTTTAATTTTCATATTGCCCAATATTGAAATTAATTCTTATTTACCAACAGATCCCTTTCCCTGGAAATAACCTCTTGTGGAACATGAGTGGAGAAGACAATTAGACAAGAAATATTTATCACTGGGACCAAATTTTAACTAGAGTCATAGAATGAAGAGATCAGGGCTCCAGAAACAAAGTGAAACAGAGAATTAAAATAATTATCTGGATCATTCAGGGGAAATAAAATCATCATTTTTGCTTGAGTGAGTGTCTGAATGATCTAAATAATTGTGCCCACCCTTTGTTTTGGTCTGGTGGTGAAGACCTGGCCAATGGATCCAATAGCAAAGGATGGAAGTTGCAAGTTTGTGGAGAGAAAGGACAGGAAGGCTCGGTAAGCCTGAATCCCGCTGGTCCTGCAGGCCTGAGTGGTGGGCAGAGGCTGGCCCAGTCCAGAGCTTGGGCTGGGGAGGGAAGGATGGTATTCCTGGAAGCTACAGACCAGAAAGTAAGCAAAGCTGAAAGTCACATGGGAAACTAAGGTTCAACAAACCCAGAATACAGCCAGAAGGAGCCAGGTTTGGTGAATGAATCCAGGAAGCTAAAAGATTAAGCAAAACAGAATCACGAGGGGGGTGTGTGCGTGTGTGTGTGTGTGTGTGTATGTGTGTGTGTAGTTAGGAAAGGTTAAACAATTAACTATACCAGAGGTTTGCAGCTTCTTGGACTCCACTGGCCATTCAAGAGAAGTGGAATTTTTCTGGGGCAACGGCGGTATGCTAGTGTGCAAATGGAACGTATAGTGTTATTCAGTGGGCCCTGCAAGTCTCCCCTTTTCAAGAACAGCTACTTTATTTCTAGATATAGAATAATAATAATAATAATAATAATAGTAAAAAGACAGCTACTTCATGTAAACGCATGAATGATCCATTGCTTGAGATTTATTCATGGCCTACTTGTGTGTTCATTTTTCAAACACAAATTTTCCTTGGAGGACAAATCAGTGGTTTCCAAGCTTACTATAGACATTAATAATAACTAATTGTGGTAGATTTTGAATTCCACAAGTTATTCAATACTCTTCCTTTCAAGAGACGGAACTTAATTCCCATCTCCTTGAGTATGGCTTGGACTGGGTGACTCACAACAGATAAAATATAGCAGAAGTTATGGTGCGTGATTTCCAAATCAAGGTTATAAAAGGTTTTGTAGATTCCTCTTAGTTCTCTCTTTTGGATTGTTTGTTATGGTAGAAGCCACCTGCCACATTATTAGGATACACAAGCAGCCCATGCAGATGTCCATGGAGTAAGAAACTGAGGTCTCCTGACAATAGCAGTGTGAGTGTGCCACCTTGGAAGCAGACTGTCCAGCCCCAGTCAAACCTTCCAATGACTGTGGCCCCAGCTGACATTTCAATGCATCCTCGTGAAAGGCCATGAACCAGAACCACCTATTTAAGCCATTCCTAATTTCTAACCCTCAGAAACTGAGTTATCTAATAAACGTTTGTTATTTTAAGCTGCTAAATTTTGGGATAGTTTGTTACTCAGCAATAAATAGTACAATAATCATAGCTAAGATTAAATTAACATGTACATGTGGCAGGCTTCACATTGTTAACATATTTAAATGGCTTAACAATCATATGGGATGGTTACATTACCAGCTCCATTTTGTAGTTGAGGAAACTGAAGTATACAAAGTTATATGTCGTGAATACTGTTAGTCCCCTTTCCTGGCTGTAAATGTTGGCTGCTAAAAACTCACAGCTTCCCCCTATTCCAGAGAACTGCCTGCCCCTGGCTGAATAGGAGTGGTCTCACCTAGGAAGTTACACACTGCCTTCCCCTCCCACTATGGCAGCCCTCAGCCACTGACTAGTTGATGCAGGGTAGGACCACCACAAAGTGGGACCAACTGTATGGTGCAATTCTCCCTCCAAAATTTTTTCCTGTGGAATCAAGCAAAAACTAGACTCTAGCTGGGATTACATTCTTGCTTAGATCCATTTGCTACCTCGATCCTGCTTTCCTATAGAAATTCCTTCTCTCCCAAAAGCACTCCCTCAATAAATCAGGTGCATTGGAATCCTGTCTCAGGCTCTGTTTTAAGGAACTCAACCTAAGTTAGCCATAGTGATTTGCCCAAAGTCATTGCTATGGTTTAAGTATTTGTCCCCTCCCAAACTCATGTTGACATTTAATTGCCATTGTGATGGCATTAAGAGGTGAGACTGCTAAGAGGTGATTAGGCCATGAAGGATCTGCCCTCATGAATGGATTAATGCCATTATCAAAGGAGCAGGTTCTTATAAAAGGTCTAGTTTGCCCCTTTTTTTCTCTCTTATCCTCTTGCCTTCCTCCATGGGATGATACAGCAAGAGGGTCCTCACCAGATGCTGGCACCTTGATCTTGGACTTCCCAACCTCTAGAACTGTGAGAAATAAATTTCCATTCTTTATAAATTAGTCCATCCCAAGTATTCTGTTGTAGCGCCAAAATGGACTAAGACAATCATACAGCCTGGATTTGCACCCAGGCAGTCTGACTTCAGAGTTATTGCCCTTAAAAATGTCTCTGGAAGAGTAACAAATATCGGTAGAATGTAGTGGCACAATCATAGTTCACTGCAGCCTTCAACTCCTGGGCTCAAGCCATCCTCCTGCCCCAGCCTCCCAAGTAGCTGGGACTACAGGCATGCATCACCACACCTGGCTAACTTTTAATTTTTCTGTGTGGAGATGGGGTCTTGTTACATTGCCCAGGCTAGTCTCAAACTCCTGGGAGTTCCTCAAGGATCCTCCCACCTTGGCCTCCCAAAGTGCTGGGATTACAGGCAAGAGCCATGGTGCCTGGCCACTACTAAATTCTCGACTCCTATTTTGGCAAGAGACAAGTGGTGTGTGGTTCAGTTTGGCTTTTTGGAACGGCTAGTTCTGCACCCCGCCCCCAACACTCACCATGGATAGTACCACCTGAAAGCCAGTCCTCATGCCCCACCATCCTCATCCCTTACCTACTACCCTAATTAATCCTGTCCAGATCCTCATTCTGGCCATGAATTTTAGCCTCCTCTCTTAGAAAGGATTTATATTTTCTTTCCTATAGTGGGTGAAATTGAGTCCTAACCCCCGGTACCTGTGAATATGATTTTATCTGGAAGTAGAATCTTTGCAGATGTGATTAAGGTAAGGATCTGAAGATGAGATTATCCTGGATTTAAGGTGGGTCTAAATCCAATGACTAGTGTCCTGATAAAAGAAAGGAGAAATTGGAGACAAAGAGACACAGGGGAAAAACCACGTGAAGACAGGATGCAGAGTTTGGAGGGATACATCTGCAAGCCGGGGCACGCCAGGATTGGATTGCAGAGACGCAGGGAACAGATTCTCCCTCGGAGCCTCCAGAAAGAACCAGCCCTACCAACACCTTGATTCCAAACTTCTGGCCTCCAGAGCTATGACATAACACATTTCCATTGTATCAAGCCTTCCGGTATGTAGTCATTTGTTATGGCAGCCACAGGAAACAAATACACCTCCCTTCAGGGGCCCTGCTCATCTCAGCCGTAAACCCAGAAGCAGTCTCTGGAGTGACGATGGGGAATTACAAAAGCTGTAACAGGCATGCATCACCACACCTGGCTAATTTTTAATTTTTTTGTGTGGAGATGGGGTCTTGTTACGTTGTTTACAAAGCCACAGCCTTGTGGGTGTTGTCATTCCTATTTTGTTTTGTTTTGTTTTGTTTCGTTTTTTACAATCGAGGAAATGGGCCCAGGAAGTTCAAGTGATTTTTCCAAAGTCCCTTACACCAGCCATCCCCAACCTTTTTGACACCAGGGACCAGTTTTATGGAAGACAATTTTTTCACGGACAAGGGGTGGAGGGAAATGGTTTTGGGATGAAGTTGTTCCACCTCAGATCATCAGACATTAGTTAGATTCTCATAAGGAGCGCGCAACCTAGATCCCTTCCAGGTGCAGTTCACAAGAGAGTTTGCGCTCCTATGAGAATGTAATGGCGCTGCTGATCTGACAGGAGGCAGAGCTCAGGTGGTCATGCTCGCCTGCCCTCCACTCAGCTCCTGCTGTGCAGCCTGGTTCCTAACAAGACACAGACTGGTACTGGTCCCTCACCGGTTGGGGACCCCTGCCCTATGTGGATGGTGTATAAAGCCCAGATTGTGGGTCTCTAGACTCCAAATCCTGAAGTTTTTAGTCCTCAAGAGGAGACTGGCAATGATACGAGGACACTAGTAAAGTCTTTGTGTTCACTGTCTATAACTCTTCATTTGAAAATCTAGGTATTTGGGAATGTGGGATGTAGGTGGAACAGGAAGGTGGGATCTAGCTTATTATCTTTCTGCCTTTGACGGAATATAATATCTCCCATAAACTGCAGCAGCAAAGTCTAACTTAAGCATTTAAGTGACCCCTTCAGTTCCTTAATGATGCTATAAATGCAATCCTGGTGTGATTTATAAAGCTATTAAAATAAATGCTTCCACTAAAATAAACATTGCTACCTCTCAGCATATGTTTACTTGCATAACCTAAGCACAAACTTATCCAAATATGCAAAACCTGAAACAAAAATGATAAATGGAGGACCTGGATGCCGTGCATAAATGAACTGGATGTGTGTGTGTCTTGACAGCATTTTCCAGGGACAGCTGGTCTTTCAGACTTTTTTTTTTTCTTAGTCATGGTCTTTCAGTCTTGAAGCCTTGCCTTGTTTCTCAGTTTGGAGAAATGCCTCCCTCCATGGTCTGACACCTAGCTGATGCCTCTCTATCCATGAATTTCACATTATGCATGGAAAAGCACTTTTTAAAATGCTCTCCTCAACCTTTCTGCATGGTGCAGCTCCCATGGAGAGCCCCACTTGAGTCTTTACCATTTTTCATGTCACAGAAATGTTTGTAGGCCCTGGGCCATGGGAGGTTTTGGAGCAAGGGGGGCATGATGAAATTTGCTAATCACATCTTGGAACCATGAGATTTTAGGCCTATATTCAAGGAGGCATGAACCCAGGGCCTGAATTTAATTCATCTTCAACCTCACAGCTCTTTGGTCTGTGCTGCATCAGTCATTACGTAAGAAAGAACATTTGAGAAGAAATCCAGTAGGTTTGAGATGATGCCCGGGAGTCATAGGACACAATGGAAAAGCAACAGGAAAGAGTTTACACCCGTCTGTCTGGTTCACTATGATATCCTCAATGCCTACCATGGGTGCCTGGCATATACAGCCTGC